CATGCGCAACCACGCCTCGATTCGTTAGGAATGAGCCTTGATACTTTTTTTTTTAAATTTCGAAATCCGTCTTGGTATTGTTTGAAACGAGGGTTGACATTATTCACAATCCGTCGTTAAATATTAGCGGAAATTCTTCGCGGGAAAATCGCTGTCATAATAAGGGAGTGAAAGTCTCGAATACAGTGTCTTGGGTGTGTTGTGCCCTTGTGCAGACTGGGACACCGGGATCATCGCAGTATATAAGGTGTAGCCAATCTGTTTTTTTTTTTCCTCCCCCCCGCTCTCTCTCTCTGTCTGTCTCTCTCTCTCTCTCTCTCTCTCTCTCTCTCTCTCTCTCTCTCTCTCTCTGTCTCTCTCTCTGTCTCTCTCTCTGTCTCTCTCTCTCTCTCTCTCTCTCTCTCTCTCTCTCTCTCTCTCTCTCTCTCTCTCTCTCTCTCTCTCTCTCTCTCTCTCTCTCTCTCTCTCTCTCTCTCTCCCCCTCGCTCTCTCTCTCTCTCTCCCCCGCTCTCTCTCTCTCTCTCTCTCCCCCGCTCTCTCTCTCTCTCTCTCTCCCCCGCTCTCTCTCTCTCTCTCTCTCCCCCGCTCTCTCTCTCTCTCTCTCTCTCTCTCTCTCTCTCTCTCTCTCTCTCTCTCTCTCTCTCTCTCTCTCTCTCTCTCTCTCTCTCTCTCTCTCCCTCTCCCTCTCCCTCTCCCTCTCCCTCTCCCTCTCCCTCTCCCTCTCCCTCTCCCTCTCCCTCTCCCTTCCTCCCTCCCTCCCTCCCTCCCTCCCTCCCTCCCTCACTGTAAAAGCTTTACATGCCTAAATGTAATTCCTTGAAGATATGGCTTTATGCTGTAATCTTGATATTTGCACTGACAAACGCCCAGCAATTTGGTCGAGGTATTTTATCCCCAAGGCTGCGCGACCCCCTTGCTATCCCTCCGTGATCACCTTGGCTATCGCTACCCACCGGGTTAGAACCTGGTGTCATCTATGTACCACAGTATGGCCCTTTTTGGTTTATTTTAGCCTAGTGTTAGTGCAGTGCCACTGACTAGTACTGAAGTGGCCATAATAGCTCAGAAAAGGGTGTGCTGCTCAATTGTTTATCCTTTTCTCTCATGAGAGTCCTTGCGTATGTACGAATTAAGAATAATGTCAACGTAATTTGGCGCATGTTTTGCCCTATCCATTCATATGGCCGGCCTGATATGTAACATTTCTCCTACAAGACGCTATAACGATGGAATGAATGCATAAATGTCTTACGATAACAGACTTCACTATAATGTTGGTATGAATGATGTTACAAGGATTTTCAGTGCGTAAAATATGGCGACTTAGATTATCAGCGCTGTAGGGACGTCAGCCTGATTGGAAGTGATATTTCGTAGTTTCCCTTTCAAGGAGTGCCACACATTATACGATACCTATTGGTGGCGTGCAACTTTAACTTCCCAAGTACCTTATATATACACTTGTAAGGGTTCTTGGAATGAGATATACAAAAACTAGAATGTGTATGGTGTGTATTTCACTTGCTGAATCAGATATTAGGTCATCAGACTAAACAAATGTATCCAGTTCTTTATACATGATTTTACGAACGGGGAAAAAGTATTTGTTAAAAGAAATCTCGAGTCATAGTGGCAAGTTTGTATAAACTTCTATTTTACATGAAGCTTGGGATTCGGAGAGCGCAGGGCAATATGCAGTTTCGCTGTGCTCAGTCTACAGTTCTCTTATTGTTTTTTTTTCTTTCTTTTATTCATTTTATGCATAATGATTGAATGATAGTATTGATAGTACCGAGGCTATGGTGAAAAATATATGGTTACTTTGATTTTTTTCTCGATCTAAACCTTTTCACATAAATGCCATCATGCAACTTGTGTTTTTTGGCCACAAGAGGATGATCTCTCTCCATATTTAGAAATCATTATCGTCATGTATCATCAGTTAGACATTTCCGTCGTTTACTTTGAAGAAATTGTATAGGTAAGATGCCCTGACGGCGAATACTGTTCTGCATTGTGCCACGTTTCCTGAGTAAGCACTGATGGGCGTAGGAAATGATAGTCATAAGGAATAATGTTTCGCTGATTGATATTTCAGTCTGTTTTGACCAAATTGTGCAAAATTTGAATCGGGAGGGTGAGCGAGTCTGTATCATGTTTTTTTTTCACTTTTTAACTTTTTTGCCACTTTACATAGGGAATTATTGTATAATACATGCTTTTTGTCAAACTATTTTCAGAAAGATTCTACAGCTTTGCTCCTCCTCCCTCTTTCCCTTCCTCCTTCCCTGCCTTTCCCTCCCTCCTTCCCTGCCTTTCCCTCCCTCCTTCCCTGCCTTTCCCTACCTCCTTCCCTGCCTTTCCCTACCTCCTTCCCTGCCTTTCCCTCCCTCCTTCCCTGCCTTTCCCTCCCTCCTTCCCTGCCTTTCCCTACCTCCTTCCCTGCCTTTCCCTACCTCCTTCCCTGCCTTTCCCTACCTCCTTCCCTGCCTTTCCCTCCCTCCTTCCCTGCCTTTCCCTCCCTCCTTCCCTGCCTTTCCCTCCCTCCTTCCCTGCCTTTCCCTCCCTCCTTCCCTGCCTTTCCCTACCTCCTTCCCTGCCTTTCCCTCCCTCCTTCCCTGCCTTTCCCTCCCTCCTTCCCTGCCTTTCCCTCCCTCCTTCCCTGCCTTTCCCTCCCTCCTTCCCTGCCTTTCCCTACCTCCTTCCCTGCCTTTCCCTCCCTCCTTCCCTGCCTTTCCCTCCCTCCTTCCCTGCCTTTCCCTCCCTCCTTCCCTGCCTTTCCCTCAATCCTTCCCTGCCTTTCCCTCCCTCCTTCCCTGCCTTTCCCTCCCTCCTTCCCTGCCTTTCCCTACCTCCTTCCCTGCCTTTCCCTCCCTCCTTCCCTGCCTTTCCCTCCCTCCTTCCCTGCCTTTCCCTCCCTCCTTCCCTGCCTTTCCCTACCTCCTTCCCTGCCTTTCCCTACCTCCTTCCCTGCCTTTCCCTCCCTCCTTCCCTGCCTTTCCCTCCCTCCTTCCCTGCCTTTCCCTCCCTCCTTCCCTGCCTTTCCCTCCCTCCTTCCCTGCCTTTCCCTCCCTCCTTCCCTGCCTTTCCCTCCCTCCTTCCCTGCCTTTCCCTCCCTCCTTCCCTGCCTTTCCCTCCCTCCTTCCCTGCCTTTCCCTACCTCCTTCCCTCCCTCCCTCCCTCGCTGCCTCCCTCCCTCCCTCCCTCGCTGCCTCCCACCCTCCCTCCCTGCCTTCCCTCTCCCTCCCTCCCTGCCTCGCCTCCCTGCCTGCCTCCCTCCCTCCCTGCCTCCCTGCCTGCCTCCCTCCCTCTCTCCCTGCCTGCCTCCCTCCCTCTCTCCCTGCCTGCCTCCCTCCCTCTCTCCCTCCCTCCCTCCCTCGCTGCCTCCCTCCCTCCCTCCCTCCCTCGCTGCCTCCCTCCCTCTCTCTCTCTCTCCCTCCCTCCCTCCCTCCCTCCCTGCCTCCCTCCCCTCCCTCCCTCCCTCGCTGCCTCCCTCCCTCCCTGCCTTCCCTCTCCCTCCCTCCCTGCCTCCCTGCCTGCCTCCCTCCCTCTCTCCCTGCCTGCCTCCCTCCCTCTCTCCCTGCCTGCCTCCCTCCCTCTCTCCCTCCCTCCCTCCCTCCCTCCCTCCCTCCCTCCCTCCCTCCCTCCCTCCCTCCCTCCCTCCCTCCCTCGCTGCCTCCCTCCCTCCCTGCCTCCTACCCCTTCCTTTCTCATAATCATCTTCACAAACCTCACTCTTCATTTACCCCCCTACCTTCCGTCCGCTCTTGAGTCTCGCCCTCCCACCTTCGCCCTCTCTGCACCCCGACTCGCATGCCAAGCGCGTACTGTATCCCCGACACCCTATAAAGCTGTTTTACGAGCCAAACTTTTCCCTCTGTTATTAGCGGTCTGGAATTGCCGGAGTGCTTGGAAGGTTGTATTGCCTTATCCATCATGAAGAAAGTTTTTTTTTTTTTCCTGAAGAGGAGGTAGGGACGGAGATAATCCCATGTCCTCATAAAAAAAGCGTTTTTTTTTAAGCTCCTCCGTCCAAAACTTATCCGGAGAGTGTAACCTTAATTAGTGTCACGTTACCAGTGATGCCTGCGAAAGCCCTTTGATGTATAATGATGCTCGGGCTGAGATGACGCTGTAAGGATGGTGCGAAGACTATATTATATATATATATATATATATATATATATATATATATATATATATATATATATATATATATATATAATGTTTTTTTTTTCTTATTAAGTCAAAGGCAAATTGCAGTTGACAAAGTAAATGTTTGTGTTAGTAATTATATTTTTGTGACTGCACCAGTCGCTACTAAACCGTGGCATTAAGAAACGTATCCTATTTCTTATTAACCTAATGGTAACAAGTTAGTAATGAATGCTTAATATTTAATCATCCTGATAGTGTCTACTTGTATTATGTTCTGCCTAACTGTGGTATACTGATCCGATCTTTACGTGTCTTTTGTTTCTCTGTATATGTGTAAGGATTAATGCTAATACATTTTAGGGAGATGAACTTGTCAAATCTAAAACCTATCATCTGTCGGAAAATCTGAAACATCGGGCGTTGACTGTTATCGGCAAGAGTTGAGGATAAAGGAAATGGCGAGAGAGGAAAAGGACAAGGAATATTTACGAGGGACTGGGAGACAGGAGAGAAACGGATAGAGAATGGGCATCAGTGATACCTTCTACTTAGCAGGAATTGGCTCTTCCACCCTATCCTTGAACAATAGCGTCGATTGATCCTCTGGTGCCGAGGCAGGGGTCGCATGCGTCATGTTAATGCACTATTCTTCTCAGTGAGCCACTTCCAGCCGGGAGAACAAGACACTGGCTGTTTGACTAAAAAAAGAAATGACGAAAGGTAACGTACAAAGATAGGAAGGGTTTTCTAATTTGGATGGGTGGAAGTACATTGGATTTACACTTTCATAGACTATACACAGACTTAATGGAGAACCTTACAACTACATGATATCCATCTAA